AAAAAAAAAAAAAAAACAAAAAAAAAAAAGAATCTTAGACCTTTCTCGATAGCTATAGATCTTTAAGCCATCAGAACTGTTATTAACAATGCGGTTTCTTCGTCTTCTTATCATTATTCATCTTAGATGCTTTTGTCAGATACACTGGATACGTAACAATTTAAGCAGACAAAGAGGATTACTTTTGAAGCTAAATGGACTTCGAAAGGCAACTATATTTGACGATCCTGTCGATGAAGCTCTTTGCCAGTCACTTCTCTGATTATAAATAGCCCGAGTTTTTTCGAGATCTTACGATGGCTCGAGTAGCTGATTGTCTTGACAGGATACGTTAATTGATTGATCAAGGAAGATGTCTGGTTCTTTGGTCTTTCTTCGTTATGGATTTCACTTTTTCTGCCTATATCAGAGTGGATGAGGCCTCTTCTAGTAGTTTAAGTGGGTAGAGGTGAATAAAGACTGCGAAAATAAACAAGATAATATTAAAGAAAACATTTTCAAAAAAGAGTTAAATATAACTAACGACCAATGAAAAACAGAATAGATAAAGCTTCTTTTGTAAAGTGCTTAAACGTTTAAAGAGTCAAAAGTTAATTGCTTTATTTTCTGCAGTCAACCTTAGATCATTTTTCAGTTCGACATTTATTAGCAGCTCATTAAAAAAAAAAAAAAGCAGTTAAATTTTAATTTATTTGATCAACTGTCCTCTTGTCGCCAATTATTCATACAATTATCACAAAATTATGTTTCTGTTAAATTAATGTTTAAAAGCATCACCTAAGACAAAATTTTAAAAGAGTAACAGTGTTTTTAAGTTTCTTGTGGAATATTTTAGGCTTAGCCATTGTCTGTACATTATTTTTCAATTCAAATATGCAGTGAGCAAAAGAAACAAAGAAAGAATTTAGGGCAATTTAGAATAGGCAAAACTGCCTGATTTTTTTAACACCAAAATAGATGTTAGAAAACCAGATTATTAACCTAACTTGATCTCAGTAAAGAAAAGAATATTAAAAAATTAGTAATTGGGCTATAAGATTGAAGCTGCATGGTAGAGGGGGGAGGATAAGAAGCTTAGTATAATAAGCGATTTTATAATAAAAGCTACAAGATTTTGATGGTTCAAAACAACGATGCCGAATAGAGTGTTTATTTGCTGTCATTTTTTGTTGTAGTGAATAGTCATTCACTTCTCCACTACTATTATCGCTTTCTAAATGACTGCTGTTCAGAGATCAAATTATTTCTGTAGTTGTTGTTTTGACGTAGAATAGCACTCGTTTGATGACAAACCTCATCTTGATGCTCATTTCACCAACAATGCAGAAATGAAAAATATTAAAACGTTTTCGACTTTTAAAAAACCAGTATTATCAATCATTTAGCAAAAATTCTGACAGAAGCACAGGAAGTAGATCAAATATTAAAAGTTTACGATTTAAGAAACATAAGCATTACTGTTACGTGTATCAGAAGAGTTAAGATTACAGCCACTGAAAAAATGTTTGTAGAACAAGTGCAAAACTTAAGTGTTTTATAATGGTCATCATAACAAGTAAGCATAAAAAATTTAGATCTAAAAATTTATTGAAAATATACATGCACATAGTAAGAAATCTATTGTTTTCTTTAGTGTTGTAAAGCCGTTGTTCGTAAGGTATAGGAAGTTGTTGCGAGAGTCAATGTTAGAAATGAAGATGACTGAAGTGGAACTGTTGGGACTTCTGGGCATTTCTTTATGGGATAATGGTTAGTCTTGTTAAAATTGATAAAGCCAACGTCAGAGAAATGTACTTTTTAGTTGTGATGGGAATAAAAAAAATTTGTTTATAATTAATTGTTAGGTAATTGATAAGTTGCTCAAAATCTAAAAATAAAATTTTTTTTTTGAAAATTTATTGTTATTACGTAATACATTTTACAATTTTATGAAGCAGTTAAACTTTTTATGTGAAAGAATAACTTCATTTTTATAACTGGTCTATAAATATATAAATTGGCAGTAAATCTATTGCAGTTTTATATTCGCTTGGTATCTGTTGTGCAAAATTTTATAAAGGATAACAAATGATTTATTAAGGAGTGGAAGCATTAAGTGCAGAAACTAAAATTCGAGCACAAGAAGCCAGAAATGTTTTGCTGAAAGAGTTGTACACTTATTGTTTATCAGTTGATCAAAAGAATGCACCAACTCGTTATGGCACTCTATTAGAATATCTAAAAATTGTTGAG